AATATTACCTTAAAAGATCAGAGAGACACACTTGAGGCAGGCATTTTATTATGCGGGTGATTAATTCAACATGCATTTGTGGATGAAGTACTCTTTCATAGCTCCAAGTTTTCTATACCACTTGCTATCTTTGCATCTTTTATTTCATGTCCAAATTGATAAGACAATCGATGTAGGGAAAATCTCCAGTAGTTGGCGTGACAGGTCTTCGAGACATTAGCACTTGAAGGTTCACATGGCACTGTCTTTCGGTCATCACCAAGACTCCTTGGTAGTGATTGAGACTTTGTATCTGTTGAATCACATGGAGCCTAAAAATTAAATATGAAAATAGAAACAACTGATTTTGCTCCACATATTTTGTCTAATTGCTTGATGATATTTGGAAGACAAAACCATGTGATCCCTCGTCAGCCCTTGTTCCAGTTTATACCCCAGCCAGATTGTATGTGTTTGCACCACATGTTTCTTTCAAGAGAGGAATCCTACATGAGCTTTTCAACTATATATACTGTATGACTGCATTTATGACCGCCAACTTCAACTCTACAAACTCTCTAGTCTAAAAATTCTCAAGTGCTATAGTTTTCCTTGATCTGCAAGTTCTTTGAGATTTTCTGAAATTTTGATCTCGAGATCTACAAAAATGGGTTTCCGTCTTTAGGCTGTACTTGCTGCTAAGAAACTTCTTAGGTGGTCCTTTTCAAATACAACCAGAGGAGCTTCAACTAATTTAGTAGATGTCCCAAAAGGTTATTTTGCAGTTTATGTTGACGAGAGCAAAAAGCAGAGATATGTAATTCCAGTATCATTCCTTAATGAGCCTGAATTTCAAGACTTGCTAAATGAGGCTGAAGAAGAATTTGGGTTTGATCATCCCATGGGTGGTCTAACAATTCCCTGCAGACAAGATGCCTTCCTTCATCTCACTTCTCACTTGAATACTTTGTGAGAATGCATAATTGAAAGTCTCTATATTACATGAACAAATAATTTTGTACAGTAGACAAACTCAACATTCTGTAATTTTTTTTGCATGGGAAGTGAACCAAATGTCTCCCTGGATTATGTAGAAATATTCATTCGTTATTCATTTGCCAAATTTAAGACGGTTCTGTTTTCACTTACTGGTTTACAATCATTTTACACAACTTTTTTCACGTTTACAAGTATCCCTAAAGGATCTCACGGGTGATCATTTAGCATCTATTGACTCTGGTGAACCTCCTTGTTTTTCTCAGGCTGTCAGGCATCCAAAATGGCCTCATGACATGCATGAGTAAATAAATGCCTTACTCCCTATTCAAACATGGTCCCTTGTTCCTCCTCGACATAGTTAGAATAATGTTGGATGCAAATGGATTTTTTCATATCAAGCGACATTTAGATGGCTATATAACGCTACAAGCCTCGTATGGTAGCTAAGGGTTTCTATAAGCGTCCTGCATTGACTATCTGAAACATTTAGTCTTGTTGTGACAACCAACTACTATCTACACAGTGTTGAGTCTTGCTATTTTTCCCCATCCTGGCCGCTTCATCAGTTAGGCACGAAAAATGCCCTTCTAGCTACATGGTTATCATCACGAAGATGTCTACATGATTCAACCTTCGAGGTTCTTGGACCCTGCTTGTCCGCATTATATTTGTCATCTTCAGAAATCTCTATATGACCTCAAACAAGCCCCTCATACTTGGTTTCAATGGATTAGTTCCTTTTTGCTCTACAATGGTTTTTGACAGCCAGGCTAATTCTTCTCTGTTTATATTTTGGCATGCTTCTTCTACTATTTACTTGTTACTATATGTTGATAACATTGTTGTTACTGACAGCTTTCATGATCTTCTCACTCAGTTTACTGCTTTTCTTGGTCAATGGTTTGATATCAAAGATTTGGGATCGAAGTTATTTTTTGGGCTTACAGGTTCAGCATGACTCTACTCGTCTTCACATCGATCAACTTAAGTATGCTCATGATCTTCTTTAAAAGTTTGACAAACGTGCTTGCAAGCCAGCCTCCACGCTGTTTGCTGCTAAAATATCTCTCAATGCTTCTAATGGGTCCGTCTTGGCGTCTCCCACTCCGTATCGAGAACTTGTTGGCTTTTTACAATACCTCACACTTACTCGTCCTGGCATTTCATTTGTTGTCAATACTGTTGCACAATTTATAAGCTCGCCTCGCACTGCTCATATGATTGTTGCCAAATGGATTCTTCGTGATGTCAACGGCACTATGAATTTTGGCGTCACCTTGATTCCACAACTTGCTTTTGCTACCTTGTTTACTTATTTTGATGTTAATTGAGCCAGTTTTCCGATACTCATCGTTCCACCATTGTCTATCTGATTTACCTTGTCTACCAATCTTATATCTTGGTGTTCCATATAGTAGTCGACCGTTGATCAGTGCCGAATCGGCATATCGGTCTCTTGCTCATGCATGTGATGAGACCACCTGGCTTTGTTTTCTTCTCCATGAGCTACATGTGTGACTTTCATTTTCTATCGGAGAAATTAGGTTTTCATCATTCTTTTTGTTACTCCATTGATTAAAACCTTATTCATTTTCAATTTTTTATCAAGGTCCTCAGGTATTAATAAACGTCATTAATTATTTCAATAATAAAATATTTTTTATTTCTAAATATATTATTAGAAATGTTACATTTGGTATATTGATATTTATGGCTAAATTTTTTATCATATATTTTTATTTTTGGTTTGTACCCATTTTTAATTTGTAGCCCTTTTTTAATTTGTACCAATTTTCGTTTATGTTTTAATTTGTGCCCGTATATTAATTTCTTTTTGTGCCCATATTTTTTTAAAAAAATTTTTTTTTTTTTTTTTTTTTGGTATTTGTACCCATATTTTTTAATTTATTTGTACCCATTTTAAATTTTGCTAAATGCACCCATGCTAATTATATGTATTTATTTTATGTTTTAAAATATATCGGTAGTTATTTTTTAAAATATGTTAATAATTATGTGGGTATATTATTTCTTGCTATAATTTTGTGAAGAACAATATTACTCTAATATTTATTTTATATGTATTTATTTTATGTTTTAAAATATATCAATAGTTATTTTTTAAAATATGTTAATAATTATGTGGGTACATTATTTCTTGCTATAATTTTGTGAAGAACGATATTACTCTAATGTTTATTTTTAAGTATTTATTATATTTTAAAAATATTATTTGAATTTGTTTAAATTTCATAATTTGTGGGACATTAAATGCATAAATGCATGAGTTAAATCTCTTAAATGATGTTAAGGACATCGATCAAAATATTTAAATTAACAAGTTTCAGTCCAACAATTAGGTTGGTTAGGGACTGGAACCAAAATGACCATTTTCTATCTTACTACATTGCGACAACCTTAGTGCCGCATATTTGGCTTCCAATCCTATTCATCATGCTCGCCCATGTCCTATCGACCTTGATTATCATTTTGCTCATGAAAAGTGGCACATATATCAGCCTGCTAAATTACTCACCAAAGCTTTCCATCAACAGCATCATGGTGTTCTTTGCTCCAAACTTGTCCACTCAAGCGCGTCCAATTTGCAGGGTGGGTGGGGTGGGGTGGGGTGTTAGATCAACAACACACACATTTTTCACCCGGAGATCAAATTAGAGGATTCAAGTTTGTAAAGAGATTGTAACCCTACGAATTCTTTAATACATATATTATTTTGTACATGTGTTCTTGTGTGATTGATCGCATGAATTCTTGTTTACAATACTACTAAAAATTAAAAATCCTTCGTAGGAAGGGTCTTCTAGAAACTAGGAAACAAAATAAAAAAAAGGATAATTTAAAATCACAATCCAAATCTAATTAAGAAATATGCTCATCTGACAATTAATCACGTTTCTGGATCTTCAAGGCTCCAAATCAGGCCCAAGATGACTCTTTTTTGTGCACTAGGCCTTTATTTCATCGCCATAAATTAACCGCCTGGTAGAAAAATTTGAAACTTTGACACAAAAAACTGAGAGACTCTCAAACATCCTCCAATGGAAATCACTCCAAAATTCATCTATATGATCACATTTTGTTCAAGAGCAAGTCACAAGTCCTACATTGGAAATATAAATCAAAATAAATAATAAATTATACTAAGAATAGGGTAAAATATATAGTATGAAATCGACTCATCAGAAAGCACTAGTAAGTAGAGTTTTAGTTACCCTCACTGTGCTTAGCTTATTTTGTTCCTACTTCTTTCCATCTCCCGTCAATTTTTGATTATCTCACGATCGGGCGTGACATTTCAACCGTGATAAATCAAATGCATAAGAAGAGATTTGTTAGCCTATGACCTTATGTGCTACGCTATTGATTGAGTGATTTGTATCCATACAACCTCTGTAAAGTAATAAGTTCCATATGGTAAGGCCTAGCGAAGTTGGCTAGCCAAAGTAGTGAGTTCCTAAACGCTTTGGTGTATTTCGGAATGAAATCATGTAAATATAACTATAAGATGTAAATTGTTTTCTCAAACATTCGATGTGAGATTCCAACAAAAAACATGGTACCGCACAATTACAAATATTGTAGAACTGAGCTGTTATTTTGACAACAAAATAATATTCCTCGGGAATTTTTATTTACATCATCCAAAGATACAGTTTTTACTCCTCACAAAAATTTCACAATTACATCCTACAACCAAAGTGTTACCAAATCATGTAATTCTTCACGGGCCACGGTTATGCCTCACACTTTTGACCTAGCTAGTAGTAGATAAGAGATACTCGTCTTGTAAAGAAACTATTGTTATAAAAGTTGCCATTACAATCTTCATTTACATCATCCTTCAAAAACTCACAGAAGGAAAAAAATTTGTAGTATGTGTAGAAAATTTTTGCTTTACAAAAATCTAACGCAGCTCAAGTAATCACAATGTATTCAAAACCGAGAAATAATATCAACGAAGGTATCTTGTCTGCAGGGAATTGTTAGACCACCCCTTGGATGATCAAATCCAAATTCTTGTTCAGCCTCACTTAGCAGGTCTTGGAATGAAGGTTGATTGAGATATGCTACAGGAATGAAAAACCGCTGTCTCTCGTTCTCCCCAACGTAAACAGCTAAAAAACTTTTGGGACATCTACTAAGTTATATGAACCTCCGCGACTTGAATTTGAAAAAGACCGCCGAAGAACTTTCTTTGCATGAGTTACACTTGGATGACAGAAACCCATGGCTTTATGTCTCGCTAGAGAAATGTCAGGTGAAAGTTTACAGGAGGAAGAAGAAGAGAAGAGTTGAGAATATGCAGAGACTTGAATGGATGGCAATGAAAGTCTCATGAAGTATATATAGTTAAAGTTTTACGTAGGATTTGTCTTCCTTTGAAAGAAATCTGTGGTGACAATTAAGACCATCTTGATAGGGTATAGAAGGGAACACTGTCTCATGAGGGATCAGACGGTGCTGTTTTCCACCTGAACTTCAATATTTTAGGTGAGATATTGCTGGACAGAATGCAGAACTTCAACAGATATGTAGTCTCAATCACTACCAATATATTTTGACGAGATGATGAATTTGAAGACAGAGCCATGTGAACTTGCAAATGCTTCTGTCTTTAAATTTTTTTTCAGTCCCATTCAATTTTCTGCAGACCACTCACTCAAAACTTTCTTTTAACATTAAGTTGATTGTTAGGATTACCAATGATCTTGTCGTCCTATCTTCCGAACATGAGTAGGACATTATGTTGTATTGTTAATCTTCATTTCTACTCGTACATTTTTCTTGTTTAGTTGGAAAGAAGTCCAAGTAATTTTTCCTTGAGAAAATGACTTTCACTTGGCTCTGCCACGGTCTTTCACCAATTGTATTTTTTTCCGTAGCCTCCTTGAAACATTGGAAGACAGAGCCATGTGAACATTCAAATGCTTGAGCAGCTGGGTCACTAGCCAATCTGCATTCAATTGCCTCCAGACCACTCTCTCCAACTTGTACAGATTATTTTGTAGACCAACGTATCAATTTTTTGTACCAAGTCCTCACATTTTATATGCTAAAACTGTTGAAATAAAACCATGGGAAAAATTCTTGTCTCAAGCATGTCTCTGATTTTCTATAAGCCTTCAATTAAGAGTGGTAGGACATTGTGCGCTTTCTTTTGGTCACCGACTCGTGAAGTGTTGTTGATAACTTGTAGACAAGTCCATGTGATTTTTCATGAGCAAACTATCTCTCACTTGGGTCCATCCCAGTGTTTAATCACCAATCATTTTAGGTAACCGACGGCTGTTTTAACTATATATGCTCACATCATCCAACGTTCAGGAGCAAGCCAACACAAGTCTTCTACTCCCAGTCATATCTTCTCAAAGTTCCTTCTGTCCTGAACTCTTTAGTATACCTTTTTCAGAGAAATTTCAAAACCATGGGTTTCCGATTTCCTGGTATTGTACTTGTACATGCCAAGAAAAATCAAGTTTCTTCAAAATCATTGGATGTTCCAAAAGGCTATCTTGCCGTCTACGTTGGGGAGAGCCAGAAAAAGCGGTATGTGATTCCAGTGTCCTACTTGAACCAACCTCCATTCCAGGATTTGTTAAGCCTAGCTGAAGATGAATTTGGATATGACCATCCAATGGGTGGTCTCACAATCCCCTGCAGTGAAGACACCTTCCTTGATCTCACTACTCTGTTTGGTGTATAAGTAGAGGCTACAATATATGTCAATAATTTTGACACCAACGGCCGTAGAAGCACTTGGCATTTTAATCGCTTTCTGGCTCACATGAAGGAGGTTCAATTGATCAATCGTCCAATGAATCATCCGGATGGAAGAGGACAGCAACGTCAAACCGCTTGTGAGCTGAGAGGAAACGGCCAACCTAGCGGACATAAACTCACTGACACAAATTTTCAAGAATAGTTATTGTCAACTGAATGTACACAGACATAGTTATCCTGCAAGACGATAATTTACAATGCAACGGTTTTATAGTTTCATTATGTACTTTCATTTTATTTGCTATCGTCTTTCAATCTAGTTACGAACAGACGATAAAATTTACACAAAAGGGATTGACAGTGGCGAAGCCAGGAATTGACCGGGGGAGGGGTGAAGTTACTGGACCAACACTGAAACTGAGAGATGAAAGCTAAAAGAATGCAAGGTTCAAAAGAATATCAATAACCAAATCCTTTTATATAGTAATATCTTCCATAATTTATCAATACAAACAAATTACCCCTAATATGCATAATAACTAATCCAACCAACAATTCAATTAATCAATACCAATAATAATAAGCATACAAATTATTCAATAAATAAAAATTCAATTCAATTAATCATATGAATAAGAATAATTGTATACATTATGGAATAATTCAATTAATTAATCCATAATCAAGAATTCAAATTTTAATTTTCATCCTAAAAAATAATTTCATAACTTCATATCAGTAATCAATAATCAATAATGTAACATCCCACATCATCCAGGAGAGTGGATCCTGTAAGTTTTATATGTATATTCTCATCTCTAACTAGCACGATGTCTTTTAAGAGCTCACTGACCTCAAGTTTCGTAGGAACTCCGAAGATAAGCGAGTTCGCGCGAGAGCAATCCCATGATGGGTGACCCACTGGGAAGTTCTCGTGTGAGTTCCCAGAAACAAAACTGTAAGGGTGTGGTAGGGCCCCAAAACGGACAATATTGTGCTACGGTGGAGTCAAGTCCGGGCTGTGTTAGGGGCTCGGGCCGGAATGTGACAAATAACCAGTAACCACATTAATGCATTACCATATGATTCTATACCAATTAAAACCCATTCGTATAAAATAATTAATTAGGGTTAGGGGTTATAAATTTAGGAATTAAAAAATTTACCTAAAGAATGGCCTTGAAGGCTGCAAGCCATAGCTGGAGAATGGCTGGAGACTGACTGGAGTGGTTGGCAGCGGCTGGAGCCTGGAGACTGGCTGGTTTTCCGTCCGTTGGCTAGCAAGTTGCCGCGCTGCTGGGAATTTGGCGGGCAAGCTTCGCTCTCTGATTGGCAAATGGCAAAGCTGAAAAAGAAAAAGGGGACACGGGTCTGAGAGGAGAGAACGGGGGACATGTGGTCCCCCCATATTTTGTTTTTCTCTTTCAAACTTATACAAAACGGCACCGTTTTTTTTTTGTTTTTTTTATCAGGTCTAAAATGACGTTGTTTTTAGGGGTGGGTTCAAAAAATCGAAAACCGAAAAAAATCGACAATCGAACCGGACCGAGGCCGAAAAAAACCGAACCACAAAAAAACCGAACCGAACCGAATTTGACCAGTTCGGTTTCGGTTTTTGAGGCTCGGAAACTAAACCGAACCGAACCGAACCGATATATATATATATAATTATTTTGAATATTTATAAATAGTTTAGTCATACAATCATAACAAAACAGAACCTGTTGCCAAGTTGGTTTCAGTGAAAGTTTACAAGCTGGAGGCATGGGTTCGAACCCTCATGCCTCCAGGATTTGTGAGATTATTTTTAATTTTTTAATCTTTTTAAGTTTTAACAAAACCCTTAACTGTGACGCCGCCGGTGTAAGTTGTTCTATTGTTGTAACCCTAACCCTCTTCCTCCTTATTTTTCATTCCCCTGGCCTGGCCTCTTCTCTCTAGACTCTCGTTCCCTCCCTTCCCTGCCTTCCGTTCTTCTTCTTCAGTTCAGAGTTCGTTCGCAGATCGCAGTCTCGCGCAGCCTGAGGCCCTGAGCCTCCTCTCTCTCTCGCTCTGTCTCTCACGCGACTCGCGTCGTCAGTCTCTCTCTCTCATCTCGCCGTCAGATTTTTCTTGCCGTTTTCAAGTCTCGACAGTCGACAGCAAAAGGTTAGCCTCCTCTCTCTCTCTCTCTCTCTCTCTCAGTCTTCAAGACTTCAACTTCAATCACTCTCTGTCTCTCTCAAACTCTCTGTCTCTCTCAGTCTTGAATCCCAGGCGACCGCGAGTTCACGACCGGCGGACCTTTCTCACTCTCAAATTGTTTCAATCTCTCACACGGTCACACCTTGCCCTCGCCGCCAACGCCAGTCTTTGATCTCGCCATGAGCTTCTTCTTGCCGTGTCGACTTCGAGTCTCGAGACTGCAAAAGGTTGGTCTCATTATCATACTCTCATATCTGGGCTTATGCTTCTGCTTATCGAATATCGATTCTGGGCTTTTGCTTGACTGCTTCTGCTTACTGAATCACTGATTTTGGCCTTCTGGGCTTCTGCTTCTGCTTCTGCTTACCAAATTACCAGTCATTAAAATTGCATGCGTAATCAGAATTCAGAAATTGTAAATTTGTAATATTTGATTAATTATTCTTTGTTGTGAATCGTGAATTCATGATTGAAGATTTTGATGGTTTTCTGGGATTTTGACTTTTGAGAACCTGTTGGTTATACTGTAATATTCGATTTCTGAATTCGTAATATTCGATTTTGAGAACCTGTTGGTTATACTGGGATTTTGAGAACCTGTTGGTTATTTCCTTGTTGGTTTTGAGAACCTTTCAGAAATTGTAATTTGTAATATTCGATTTCGATATGTTGGTTTTGAGAACCTTTCAGAAATTGTAATTGGTTTGGTTATACATGTTGAGAACCTGTTGCCAGTTCCAGTTGCATGTTGGTTTTGAGAACCTGTTGCCAGTTGCTTGTTGGTTTTGAAAACTTTTGAGAACCTTTCAGAAATTGTAAATGTAATTGGTTATTTATACATGTTGATTTTGATTTGATAATTGATGTTAAAGACTTTAACATCAGAATGAATGTTGTAAAACTGTGCTTGTTGTCAATATGGACAACAATTTGGGATAAAGAAAGAAAGAAAGAAAGAAAGAAAAAAAAAAAAAAAAAAAAAAAAACCGAACCGGACCGAAACCGAACCGAGAAAACCGAACCGAATACAAACCGAACCGAACCCAAACCGATAGAAAACCGAACCGAACCGAACCGAACAGTAATTTCGGTTCGGTTTCCGGTTTTCGCAAAAAACCAAACCGAACGGAACCGAACCCACCCCTAGTTGTTTTGGTCTAGATAATTTTTTTTTTTTTTTTTAAAAAAGGATTCATCTCTACTGCACAGCAGCAGAATCAGACCACCAGAACAAGGAGGGGGTGAAACCAGTCAAGTTTTCCGACAAGGGAAAGGGCTGAACGAGCACTCCAAGCTTGTTTTTCCGGCAAGGGCCACTCACGTGGCTTCGCCGTTGCTCTTAAGTACATAGGTTAGATAATTATATGAGTATAAAGTTATTATGTCCTCTAGATAGTTCATATTTTTGTACCTGTCACTTGACTAATTATAATGTCTTCTCGTTGTATATAAATCAAAATAGGCAAACACGATGTACAAATCAAGATATACTAAAATAAGTACCATTTAATTGAGTGGTTAGCAATTTTGAAATTGAGTGACTTCTTTTAACAATGATCTTTGAGGAGGAACTTAAAAACTAAATTACCTGTTTATGAAAATACACTACAGAGTGAGCCCTACAAAAGTACTCGTAATTAAGAGAACCATGTATATATTTCCATGTCAGGTTAAGCTATTTGTAATTGAGTTAACTTGCCCTATCTACTGAGTACTAAAGCTGGAATTAATTAATTTAAAATGACCCTTCGGAATTAGTTGGTTCTACAATTTGAAATGTACAATGTGTCAACATAGTTCAAACTCGTCATTCACATGAGTTAAACCACAAACCTTCCATGCACATACTAGTGAAAATGAATCCAACTACACAACAGTACCAGTGATAAGTTTGTGTCTTCTTTTCTTGTTTTCCAAGTGTTTAACCACAGAAAAATTATCTGTACTTCTGAAATACAAAGCCATTTACAAAGGAAACACATTAAAAAGCACGTAAGATTTGATAGGTTATTGTATATTTTATCACAAAATCGGCCAATGTCAGATATGAACTTAGCCAAGTCGGCTAAAGCAGTGTGAGCATCACTCTTGACCCAAGTCTAAATCCCTCTTCCCAAATTTCGGATGAATTCACCATAAATTACAGTATCGTCTATGAAAAAACAGAGGGAACTTAAATGAAAAATTCCCGATAATATTCACTTTAACGAAAAACCATATTTTTACACTAAAAAGTCAATCTTGGTACCATTCACTTTACCCTTTATTTTGTCCTTATCATTAAAACTCCAAGTTTTCAAACCATTTCCATTATTTTTTCTAAAAAAATACCACAACCCCACTTCGTGCAGATACAATCTCAAGTAAGCCTAAAGACAAAAACACCAGAAAGTGTAATCAGATGCAGTGTTTTCTATCAAATAACGCATAGCGTTCAACATTTATCTCATGATTTCAGGAAGAGGAAACTCTCCCTTGATATCGACTTCTCACAAACTTGAATGAATTACATTAATTGTACTTGTTCCCGAATTCCACACCAATAATAATCTGAAGCTGAGGAGAAAGACGATCCGTCTCAGAACATAACCATGTCAATCTGCCTCGGCACACAATCGCACGAAAAAAAGCTTTCATTTCTTTTGGATTTTATTGTTTCAATTGTACAGAGTGTCTCGTGTCTGAGAACTGGGTAACCTAGCTACGGTGGCAAACAGTACAAGCAACTACAGGTCGACCGCGAGATGCCAAGCATCATCCATGGCCAGGGACAACGGTCCTCGGCATCATCCATGGCCTGGACAACGGAGAGGACCAAATAATGTTCTAACTGGCAACCTGCTGCAATGGAGGCCAAGCCATTTCATCATCTGTGTGGCCCTGAATGAGAAAATCAGAACAATTTTTCCTGCACCCATGGTTATATGGGTTTCGGAACCGCCCATCTGGACCCCGAAGATACCCATAACGAATAGCATTCGCCAATTCGTTGGTGGTGATATTTCGAGCTATCTGTTTCAGAGATGCAACAACATCATCAGTATATTAAAGAAAATGAACTTTAACTATAAATTAAATAAAATAAAAAAAAGAGAACCAAATTTTGCAACATCCAATCCATTAATTAATCCACATCAGCGATTTCGTTTCTTTTGTCAGTATTCTCTTACAGGATGCGAAAAGGGGCATAACTTTCTTATCAATAGCTATCTCTGCTCCCACATTTTTTTCCCATTATTTAACAGGTTCTTCAATCGCTATTTATCTAGCCCCAAAGAAAAAATCTCAAGAAAGAAGGAAAAGGAGGTAAATAAAAGATAAATTGTATTCCAAATCAATGACCGTATGGGCTGGCTAATCCTTGAATGCAACTGAAAATTGTAGTTTTCACTTTTTCGGAGGAACACATGTTTTGTCTTTGCTAACTAAAGCTAAAATTTATGTAGTGAGGGTTCCATCAATTACCTGAGTTGCCTGTGCCATTGTCAGGGTTGTAACAGCAATCAAAATAATTACGTCCACAAACAGAAAAGCAACAATACTAGGATACTGAACTACCACACGACGAATCCATGACTCCTCTGTTCGCAATCCTGGCAATGCACCCCAAATCCCTGTCATCATGAAAAGACAGCTGTCATCTAGTAAAAAAATGAAGTTC